CACCACTGCTCGTCCGACATGCCCGTGCGGCCAGCGTCCTCGTCTCTCGCGCAGTCGATGGTGACGCCCTTGCGCAGCGTCTGGCCCTGCGACAGCGTGGAGGTCAGGTAGGGCGCGTGCGTCAGGGTGAACCCCGAGCGGCGCACGCTGTGCGCCCCCGAGCTCTGCCATGTGAACTCCCTTTCGCTGGGCCTGAACATCAGCAAGCTCCGCGCCCGCGCCTCGGCCTGGCCGTCGTCGTCGGCGCCTTCGGCGCCCTGTCGCAGCACCTCGGCGACCTCCTGGTAGATCGGAGACTCCTTGAAGCCGTGCACCTGCAGCCAGATTCCCTGCGGTAGGAAGCGGGGGCGAAAGAGCTGGCCTGCCGAGCACTCCTTGTAGCGCTGCTCGTCCTCGCGGTGGAACTCGAAGGACACGATGGTGGCCCGCTGCTCCTGCACGAGCCCCAACTTCTTCTTCAGCTCCTCCTGCGCTGCCGTGAACCGCACCTCCATGCCGACGTGGGCCGGCAAAACGCCGTGGATGTCCCCCGTCTTGCGCATGTTCGGGACGTTCAGGAGGCGCCGACCCGCGTCGGGCTCGCCCTGAATCGCGCCGCACTCGTCAACGGCCTGCAGGAAAACAAGGGGCACGCCCAGACGCCGAGCGTCGCGACGAGCGCGCGTGTTGATCCACCTCGCCAGCGTCTCCCAGTATATGCCCATGCCGTGGCCGAGCCGAAAGTCCTCGTGCTGGTGCCGAGGGCCCAGGACGCCCTGGTTGTCCGTGGCCAACGTCTTCTCCCAGGCGGACCAGACCTCAGGTGGGAAGGGCTCGCCCTTGCGCATGCAGCCCAGGAACGTGATAAGGGGGTCCCCGGGCTCGAAGCGCTTCGCGCCCTTCAGCTCGAAGACGCAGGGGATCTGAGAGAAGACCTTGATGGCGTGCTGGATCTCCACCGTCGGCGGGTCCGCGTACCTGTACGACTCGTCGTCGTCCAGGCGCTCGTTCACGTCCGTCAGGAGGCCGATGCTGCCGGTGGGCTCCAGCTGCAGGAAATCGCCGAGGTGCAACACGATGGGCACGCGCCCGAAGTGGTGGCGTGGCCGCTGGTAGTTCGACTCCTGCACGTCGTGCGCGTCACTGCGTCCGCGGCAGGCGCGAAGGCCCAGCGCGTTGTACAGCGCGGCTGCCACCATGCTTATCTCCTCGATGGCAAGAACGCGGACGTGCTCCCACAACCACTTCAGCCTCTTCTGCATGCCCCCCGGCCGCAGCTTCGCGTTGGTGTACTTCTGAACTCGCATGGCACAGGCATTGTGCAGCGTTCTGGCTTTGACAGTCTCGGTGGAGATGTTCTTCGCCTGCGCGTTCGAGAAAGCCACGACCATCATGCTGGCCCTGTCCGGCGCCGGCGAGGGCCACACGTATTCCACCACTGGGAAGACGATCTTCTGCACGACGTGCGTCTTCCCCGAGCCGCCCTGGCCCAGCAGGAGCAAGTGCGTCACCTTTCTCTCGCTCCAGGGCTTCTTCTGCACGTCGTCCTCCCAGGCTTCGTCGCAGGCCTTGGCGAACTTGGCGACGAAGAGCGTCTGGTCCTGCGTGAGTCTCTGGTCCTCCGGCAAATTAGCGACCAGTTGGGCGATATACGCGCTGGGCGTGGAGCACACGCCTCGGTCGAAACTTGCCGCAGAGGGGTCGGTGCCCAGGCCGCCGGCGCTCTCGGCCGCGCCGTCGTCGACGCCCGCGTCATCCTCGTCGCCAGTGCTCTGGAGGCGGTCGTCCTGCAGCTTCGCCCAGGAGTGTCTCTCCTCGCGCGCCGCAGTCACCAGCGGTCGGTACCCGGCCGCGGGTGCAGGAGCGGTCGCGGCGTCCGCTGGCGCGGGCGCGCCCACGTCCTCGCGGGCCGCTTCGGACATGCACGGGAGCGCCAGGAGCTCCTTGGCCAGCTTCGTGAGACGCTTGCGGCGCGCGAAGTTCAGCACGTCCGCCATGTCCTGCTCCCCGTCGATGCCCCACGTCGGGACCGGCTGGTAGTGCAAGTGCTCTCGGACCCCCTTTGGAGGCGCGCCCGGGTGCTCTACGCCCTCGCCCGCCTCGGCGCCCTCGTCTTCGCCGGCGCCTCCACCGGTGGTCGCCTTGAGGTACGCGCAGGCACGTGCCAGTGGATACGTGCCAGGGGCACGACCCAGAGGAAGCGCACAAGGGTGCGTCCCAGTGGATACGTGCGGGGGCACGACCCAGAGGAAGCGCACAGGGGTGCGTCCCAGTGGATGCGTGCCGGGAATAGCGTTCTGGGAACACGACGAACACGAAGTGGCCTACAGTTGGCTCCTCGCAATTCACTCAGAGACGAGGCTCCCGCCTGAGACTTCCTCCAAATTCAAGCCTGAGGAGCCCAAAAACTTCCTTGTTGCGTCCAAAATGTGGCCTGGGAGCTGCGTTCTGGCAGCGCGAGAACCCAAAATTGACGACAGTTACAGGTTTTGGATGACCCGCTCGGATTACCAACATGATCTGCGGGCCCCATAGGGAGGGGGCTCCCGCCTGAGACTTCCTCGCAGTTCACTCACAGACGAGGCTCCCGCCTGAGACTTCCTCCATATTCAGGCTTGAGGAGCCCAAAAGTGATGACAGTTACAGGGTTCCGATGACCCGCTCGGATTACCAACATAATCTGCGGGCCCCATAGGGAGGGGGCTCCCGCCTGAGACTTCCTCACAATTCACTCAGAGACGAGGCTCCCGCCTGAGACTTCCTCCAAATTCAGGCTTGACGAGCCCAAAAATGACGACAGTTACAGGGTTCCGATGACCCGCTCGGATTACCAACATGATCTGCGGGCCCCATAGGGAGGGGGCTCCCGCCTGAGCTTCTTCACAATTCACTCAAAGACGAGGCTCCCGCCAGAGACTTCCTCCAAATTCAGGCTTGAGAGCCCAAAAGTGACGACAGTTACAGGTTCCGATGACCCGCTCGGATTACCAACATGATCTGCGGGCCCCATAGGGAGGGAGCTCCCGCCTGAGACTTCCTCCCAATTCACTCACAGACGAGGCTCCCGCCTGAGACTTCCTCCATTTTCAGGCCTGGGGAGCCCAAAGTGACGACAGTTACAGGGTTCCGATGACCCGCTCGGATTACCAACATGATCTGCGGGCCCCATAGGGAGGGGGCTCCCGCCTGAGACTTCCTCACAATTTACTCAACGATGATGAGGATGAGGATGATGAGTGGTGGTGAAGATGAGTGGTGAAGAGGATGATGATTGATTGTGAGTGGTGGTGGCGATGATGATGTTTGAATGAGGATGATGCCGATGCCGATGATGATGATGATAATGTTCGTGAACGTGTGAGAGAGTGCGAGTGATGATGATGATGATGATGATGAGTTTGTGAGTGACTAAGCATGTGAGAGAGCATCATCGATGATGCTGATGAGGTTGATGATGAGAGAGTGTGAGTGAGTGTGAGTGGGTGTGTGTGTGTTCCTGTTCCTGCGCGGGGTGTCCAGAGAAAACAAGAACCCCACTTTGGATGTGGGGAACAAGTGGGGCTGAACCAGACGGGCAGATCGGGCGGGTAGACTCTAACGGGCGGGTCGGGAAGGCGGGCCCAGGCGGCGAGGTCGAGCAGGCGGATTGCTGAAACGTGCGCCCTGCATGAATCGCGAGGAAGTCTCGAACGATAGCGCAATTCCCAAGTAAATCGTGGGGACAAAGACACAGTTCTGAGACCCAAGACTTTCCCTGATAGAAAAAAGGGTGCGAGCCCCGGGAAGGGCACGATTTAAAAAGCACCATGTGCCCCGGAGGAGGATCAACAATAATTATTCTTCAGTAGCGAGAGCTCAACAATGATAATAAGACTAAAAGGTGATAACAGGAAAAACAATGATAATGCTAATCATAAGTTGAAGACTGTTCGCTCTGATCTGCTCGCATGGCATTCAACACGTCTATCCCGAACCCTCGATACCCGCCCCCCTTCGTCTTGATCGTACCCTCTTGGGGGCATATCTTTCTCACCTGCAACGTGTATTTCGTGCAGCCCCTAAGGGAGGGGAAGAGAGGACGGACGGAAGGAAGGGACAAGGTGGAGGGAGGAGGATGGAGCACGAGAGGGAGGGGGGCCAGGAGTAGAAAACAAGTGGGGCAGAACCAGACCGGCAGATCGGGCGGGTAGACTCTAACGGGCGGGTCGGGAAGGCGGGCCCAGGCGGCCAAGTCGAGCAGGCGGGTTGCTGAAACGTGCGTCCTGCATGAATCGCGAGGATCTCTCGAGCGGTAGCGCGATTCCCAAGTAAATCGTGAGAAATCCACAACGAGAGCGTGATTCGTGAGTGTCGAGGGCGCGGCGTTTGATCAAATTGCGATGATGTCCCACGCGAGAGCACAATTCCTTCAGAAAGTGTGAGGACGTCCCGCGCGAGAGCGCGATTTGGGAATAAGTTGTGAGGGTGTATCAGGCGGGAGCCGTTGTTGTTGCAAGTCGGGAGCCAGGGGTCCAATCTGAGCCTCAAGACTTCCCCTTGTAGAAAACAGGGTGCGGGCCAAGGGAGGAGCAATTTCATTGAACAATACAGAACGGTCGCCAGGGGGAGGATCAACTAGTTATTCTTGAGAAATGAGAGCTCAACAGCAAAAACGACGGAGATCTTGGCCCGAGAGATGTTCGGGCCATCTGTGGCGGCCGATCGGAACGAGTCGTGTACCCCCGGAGCGGTCTTGGCGAGGCGCAGCTGCTGGAGGGCGTCCCAAGGCTGGAAAGCCGCGGAGAACACGCGAAAACGCCATAAAACCTCGAATCTCGAACCAGACTTCGATCCTCCTCCTCCTCCTCCTCCTCCTCCCTCTCCTCCCCCTCCTCCTCCTCCTCCTCCTCCTCCTCCTCATCCCCCTCCTCCTCCTCCTCCTCGTCCTCCTCCTCCTCCTCCTCTTCCTCCTCCTCCTCCTCCTCCTCTTCATGGAAGCACCTTCCGTCATACCCACTAGGGGAAATCGCCCCTGGGCCCGCCTGCTTGGCCGCGTTCACCGTGGCTGGAACCATCTCCAGCACATCCACGGGGCACGCGCGCACGCAGAGCGTGCAGCCTCGGGGGTGGGAGGCGTCGGAGGCAAGAGGAGCGGGGAACTACCGAGCTACTGCATTTGGACAATATCTCTCCGCCTGACGCGCTGCTGGTGGAGGGGCCCATCACATGTTGTTCGGCCATGCGGCGGTGGCGCCATCCACCGCCCAGCCACGACAGGGCCACAGCAGGAGAAGTGGGGGAGGAGGGGGGGTCGACGGGGGGCAGGATCCCAATGATGGGGGTTCGAAGGGGGGTCGAAGGAGGAGGGGTCGAAGGTCGGTCGAAGGGGGTCCGCCGATATGATGTTATCAATCCTTGCGATTTGTCCTTCCATTCGCCTTCCAGGGGCCGTTTGCAGGACCTGGGGCCGTCAGGAATGAATCTGGGCAAAGCATTGCCCCCACGGAAGGGCTCCAGGCTTCTGAGGCCGCGGAGTGCAAGCACACACACACACACATCGTCGGACGTCTGGACCTAACTTCCCAGGAGGGCTAAAAAAGAACACCAGCGCCTTCGAATATGAGCTTCCGCTGGCGCGTTGAGCAATCCAAAAGAAAGGGTACGACGGCCATGTGTTAGCACTCTGTGAGGTTAAAGAACACAGACCTCCTCGCTGAGAAACCATAAAAACGACCACTCAAGACGGTCCCGAATCCCCTGCTGGCGAAGAGCAGCCTTTGCACGTACACGAGCCGTGATGGTCGCACGGCCAGGATGCCCTAGGGCCATTCCGTTCAGAGCCACGACTGCATACTAAACCAAGGTACGCGTCGCACGCCTCACACGCCAACGCTCCCAGGCGCGACCAAGGACGAGGTCGCGCCGCTCGCGGAGCGAGGGCGGGGGCGGGCCATGCCAAGGATCGCGGGACTCGGGAGCAACGGGCGCCCTGCCCAAGATCTGGGACGTCCCCCTCCTCCTCCTCATCCTCCTCCTCCTCCTCCTCCTCCCCCTCCTCCTCCTCCTCCCCTCCTCCTCTTCCTCCTCCTCCTCCTCCTCCTCTTCCTCCTCCTCCTCCTCCTCCTCCTCCTCCTCTTCCTCGTCCTCATCCTCCAGCTCTTCCTCCTCCTCCTCCTCCTCCTCCTCATCCTCCTCCTCCGGCGTCGCGCGCGGGTCTGTTCCGCGGCCAGAGCTCCGCAGACACCTCCGCCGTCCCTGCCTCAGGGAGCGCGCCTCCAAGGGGGTGGCAAATCGCCTACGCCGTCCACCACCTCCTCCTCCTCCTCCTCCTCCTCCTTCTCCTCCTCCTCCTCCTGCCTTCTTTGCCTCCTCCTCATGATCCACCTCGTTCCTTCTTATTATTGTTCCTCCTCCTCCTCCTCTTCCGATTCTTAGTTTTATTGGTATCAATGATGTTATCAGTATGTGTCGTATGATTCGTGGTGTTGCTATTATTAATGTTGGTGCTACGGTTGCTCCTTTTTATATTAAGATTATTAGTCGTCTTCTTGGTAGTAGTATTCACAGTGTTGTTACTTGTGGTATTCACTTCTTGGGTAGCATTAGCAGTATTAGTACTATGACTCGTAGTATGTTTCTTATTCGTATTCGTTTTAGTAGACTGATGCGTCTGCTTAGTGTTCTTCTTCTGGTGCCGAGCACTCTGATTAGAATGACTACGATTCTCTTCTTCGTACTATGATTAGTCTGATGGTTGTATAGTGTTGGTTTGCTAGTGTTCGTCGTACTCGTGAGATTTATCATACGTTGAATCGCATTACTCATGTTACTCGTAGCATTCCTTTTCTTATTAGTATGAGTAGTTTGTTTCTTACGAGTGTTCGTTCTCGCATTCTTCCTATCAAACCACGAGTAGTAGTAGTAGTAGTAGTAGTAGTAGTCATAGTAGTAGTAGTAGTAGTAGTAGTAGTAGTAGTAGTAGTAGTAGTAATAGTAGTAGTAGTAAAAATATTAGTAGAAGAAGAAGAAGTAGTAGTAGCAGTAGCATTACAAGTATTAGCAGTATTACTAATAGCAGCTTTGCTATTATTAGTATTCCGCCTCCTCCTTCCTCCTCCGCCGCCGCCGCCCCCGCCGCCTCCGCCACCTCCGCCTCCCTCCGCCTCCGCCGCCGACTCCTCCTCCTCCTCCGCCTCCGCCTCCGCCTTCGCCTCCTCCTCCTCCTCCTCCTCTTCCTCCGGCGTCGCGCGCGAGTCTCTCCCGCGGCCAGAGCTCCGCAGACACCTCCGCTGTCCCTGCCTCAGGGAGCGCGGCTCCAAGGGGGTGACCAATCGCCTAAGCCGTCCACCACCTCCTCCTCCTCCTCCTCATCCTCCTCCTCCTGCCTCCTATGCATCCCCCTCTTCTTCTTAAGATAGTATTATGTTTCGGTTTCTTACTCGTCCTCTTTCTCCTCTTCTTATCATTAGCATGAGTCGTTATATTAGAATGGTATGCTTCTTTTTGTTTGTCTTATCAGCATTACTTTAAGTAGTATGACAATTATTATGTTCGTCTTATTAGTAGCAGTGATAGTATTATTTTCAGTGATATCATTAGTGTCAATGGATTGTCTTATGTGCCGCGTTAGTGTTCTTATTACTCGTCTTAGTGTTCTGCGTCGTCTCCTTAGTGTTCGTAATGTGCTTAGTAAGTTCATTATTCATGGCACGCTTATTATTATTACTCTTCTTCATGCTATAGCCGTTCTGGACCAGGTGTTCAGTTTGCACCAGCTTCTTCAGAGCGGCAGTAGCTGGTGCGGGTCTTTGTGGCTCGGATAAGTAAGGGTTTCCCTCCATTCGTTTGTGAGCTCCTGTCGGAGCACAGCATGAGCGATGTCGTCAAGGATCCCAAGCTCCCTTTTGTGGGACTGTCAGACCCGCGGACGCACGTCGAACTGGGCTTGTCGAGTGCGGTGCAGATGCGGAGCGGCTGCACCAGGACACGTCCTACAGAAAGCGAAGGATTTCGACGGCCACAAATCACCTCCTCGTGCTGGGGGTGCTCGTGGCAACGACAGTTTCAAGTCAATGGGTGGGCGGCAGCAGGATCAGCTCAACAAGATGCCGGCAGCCATGCAGAAGCAGTTGGATGCGCTCACCAAGCAGTTGTGCCCAAGTCGCGGCCGTCAGCCGCAAGTGCGCAATATGCTGATGATGCCGACGGTAACGGCAGCAGTAACAACGACGACAAGTTGGCAGTCAAAGCTCGTGAGCTGGAGGCTGCCATCGAGGCCTGCAAGGGCGACCAAATGGAGGCGGCGAGATCGGATCTTGAAGGCCAACTTCGAAAGGTTCGCAAACAGATCGAGCAGGGCAAGAGTGACGTCACGCGGCATACCAACCTCGGGCACAAGCTGGCTCGCAAGCAGGGACAGCTCAATAGACTCGAAGAAGAACTACAAGCACAGGAGAATGCAATCAAGGAGGCCACAACTAAACGTGATGAGCTGGCGGTCAAAAGGGTTGCACTCAAGCAAGAAGTTGATGACATACGTGCACAGATCAAGCAGTCACCTCTCGTTGCTGGTGGCGGCGACTTTGATTTCACCATTCCTGATGAGTTGCTGGAAGTTGACGACCTATTCAAAGCACTCTTCGAGATGAATGCGTCCAAGCAGATCCAGGAGCTGTCCACCAAGCCCAGGGCTGGCCAGAAGCAGAAGATGGCGGGCTCGAGTGGTAAGGGTGGCACTACTGGCGATGCTGATATGGCTGCTGATTTTCAGAGCACAAAGGAAGGAGGCAAAGGAGTTCTGGGAGGCACATCGGAGCGACAAGAGGGCCATCATGGAGGCCCTGGTGGCGGGCAAATTCAACCGGGCCAAGACTGGCCCGGGAGAGGAGGCGCCGTCGTCCTGACGTGAGTCAGCGAGATCATCGTGTACTGAGAGCCTTCCTCAGGGAGGCACAACAGCAGGCTTCGTTTCAAGCTGGTAATGTTCGGATGCAGGCGACCACCAGGGTGCGCAGGAGCGGCGAGCCCAGCCGATCTCGAGAGCCGGACGCCTGCGAGTATGCTAAGCATGATAAGTGGCCTGACAAGCCCCCTGCCGGCGTTCCACTGTGCTCTGGTTTTAAGATATTTCCCAATCAGAGCTTGCCGCTTGCCTCTGTAGGGGTCCTAGCGGATTCATATGGTTAGGTGAAATGCGTCGCCGATTTCGGTGGCCGGCCCGGGTGCCCAGGTGCCCGGGTGCCCCGGTGCCCGGGTGCCCGGGGGTGCCCGGAGGTGCCCTGGGGTGCCAGGAAGTGCCATGGGGTGCCCAGGTGCCCAGGTGCTCTATCGCCCTATAGCCCTGTAGCGCTGTAGCCCTATAGCCCTATAGCCCTATAGCCCTATATAAGTCTGTAGTCCTATAGCCCTTTAGCCATATAGCCCTATAGCCCTATAGCCCTTTAGCCATATAGCCCTATAGCCCTATAGCCCCATAGCTCTGTAGCCCTATAGCCTAATAGCCCTATAGCCCCTATAGCCCCTATAGCCCTATAGCCCTATAGCCCTATAGCCCTGCAGCCCTATAGCCCTATAGCCTTATAGCCCTATAGCCCTAGAGCCCTAGAGCCCTAGAGCCCTATAGCCCTATAGTCCTAGAGCCGTAGAGCCCTAACAAAATGTATGATTGGGGCTTTTCTCCGGTATCATTTCTTCCATGGGATCTGGCTGCCCTCCACCCAGGATGGGCGATGGCCCGAGGGCCGATGATTTTCAGGTTCTGTGTGTGCGAGTCCTACAGATGGAGACAGCTGGGAAACGCTCTCGGACCGCTTGGCTCGGACGTCTGCCCTGGTTCTGTCTTAGCGCGGGAGATACGAACCACGCCAAGAGGACGTCAGGGGGACAGGACGGCCAGAGCGTTGGCGATGGGATGGCACATGCTCTGCACGCCTTCCGTTCCTGAGGGTTCCAAAGGAGGTTTTTGGGGAGGGGGTTTTCCAGAGAGCCCCCCAGGGGCCTCGGAACCTCGTCAAAACAAGGGGTGCGAAGCCCCTGGCGGACCCCTCCTGCAAAACCCCCTCCCCCAAAAATCTGGAACCCTCGGGCTGTTCCTTGTCCTGGTGGCCAGACGCCGGCGGG